ACGGGCGTGTACGCAGACATATACGTGAGTAATTCGATAAGAAGTAGTGTACTTTGGAAGTCATGTGTAATGTTGAAGGACTTCCGCTCCGGCAGGGGAAGCCGCGGCCACTGCCATCAACCGACCCCTTGCCCATATATCTCGACTACAATGCCACCACACCGTTGTGTGACGAGGCGTGGGAAGCGATGGTAAGCGTGCGTAGTTCGTGGGGTAACCCGAGTTCATCCCACCCGTATGGTTTGGCGGCAAAGTTTGCCCTGGAGGAGGCACGGCGAAAGATCTCGGATGCCATACATGCCGAGACGCCTGAGTCCATTGTTTTTACGTCAGGGGGAACAGAAGCAAACAATCTTGCCATTATTGGCGGGACATCGGCTGTCCACGAACGAGACCCAACCCGCTTTCGTGTCATTGCAACTACCGTGGAGCACCCTGCTGTGGAGGAGGTGGTAAAATTCTTGCAACTTTCAAATCCGCTTCAAAAAGAGGAAAGTGGACTGGTGACACATCGGTTCCCTGTGGATGTGACTACCGGGTGTGTCAATCCCGATCAGTGGCGTCAACTACTTCTTCAGTTACCGGGGGGTCCTAGAAGTGTAGCACTCGTTTCCGTGATGCATGCAAACAACGAAATTGGTTCAGTCAATCCCATCCGTGAGCTCGTGCAGCTGGTAAAAGAGTTGTGTGGTGCGGAAGTTCTTTTTCACACAGATGCAGCACAGTCCATCGGAAAGGTGCCGGTAGACGTAAGTTCACTGCGGGTGGATTTTTTGTCCATTTGTTCCCACAAGTTTTATGGCCCCAAGGGAGTGGGTGCTCTGTATGTGAGGGAAGGAGTTCCTTTGCAGAATATTCTTTTTGGTGCGGGTCATGAACGTGGTATTCGTCCAGGCACAGAAAATGTGATGCAGATCACTGGGATGGCAGTGGCACTTCACATTGCATGCAACAATTTATCTGAAAATGCAAATAGAATGCAAGCAACACGCGATGAGTTACTACATGTCATTGAAGAGGAGTTGGTGAAAGTTGGAATGAGATACGTGGCGAATAGTGATATCCGGTATAGTCTACCGAATACACTTAATATCGCCCTGTACAAGGAGGATCGTGCTGGGCATCCCCGATACATATCGGCTCAGAGACTAATTTATTCGGTAGGTAACCAAGTCTGTATGTCTGCCGGATCCGCATGCCATTCCTCAGCCCAAGAAGTTGAAGTCTCTACCCCTCTGAAAAGCGTCGGTGTGGATCTGCCGCGCGCCATCGGAACGCTCCGCCTTTCGACAGGGCGAGGAACAAGCGTTGAGGAAGTTCGACGAGCAGCACGCATAATTGTGCGGCACGCTGCACAACAATTTGGCGATGTCTAATGTTGTCTCTATTTGAGAAGAGGGGTCGTGCTGCAGAATGATGCCCAAATGCATACGGCCATCACAGAGGAATGGAAGGGGAGATGAATCTTAAAAATAAAAATAAAAAAATAAAAGTTTTATCCTTCAACGGATGATACTTTGATTCCCGTGCCGTGATGTCTAATAAATAAGTAAATATATGTTTTACACGCTTATGTCTATTGTCTCCATATTTATTTATTTATTTATTTTTGCTTCTTCTGCCTGTGAGTTTTTTTTTTTTGTAGCTTTTCCATGCGGAGACATGAGTGTTGGCGGAGCCCCGTCAGACGGCGTTGGGGTGGTTTGGTGTGCCACCCAGCACCTCCCAGCAGGCACTGGATTCCCCTTCCTGCTGCAGGTGGAGGACGCTCAGTTGTGCGTTGACTACCCTGCAAAGCATCACCGCTGTTGTTGGACGCGCGCCATGTTGCAGCCAGTGTGGGAGAACTTTAGCGCCAGCCCCGTGGGAAGAAAAGATTTGAAGAAAGAAGAGAGTCCTTCCCAAGAACAATACCCACAAACGGATGCTTCTTCCTCTTCCTTTTTCTCACTTAGAACACGTCGAACTCTTGCGGAACTGTCGCAGTCTATTCAATTGCTATTTAAACGACAGCAACAAAAGCGACCACCATGTAGAAATGTGAATCGGTTGCGCTACATTCATCTTTTGCCTTCTGTTGTGCGCGTCGGGAAGGGCATTAAGGGGAAGTTGTCTCTGACGTTTTCCCTTCGACGCTGCGGGGACACAAAAGAAGCGAAGGTGTCGTTATTTCCAACTTTTATTGCTGTTGAAGTATTTGGTTTCATGACTTCTTTTGTAACGATAACCTTGTGTGAAGCTCGGCGACGTTCATCCCGTAAGACGACACTTTTGTTGTTGCAGAGTATAAGTCATGAGGGCAATGTGGCAAAGTACAGTGTCTTTAACGCGGATCTGCACCTCGATTCCCTCCAGTCATTCTCGTTGTTGCCTTTGCCATGTGAATTAACGTGGTCATTTAGGGTATATGCTGCCTGTTACAGTTCCATGGAAACACAAATTCGCCTTGAAGAACCCTTCATGCACCTCCGCGAATGGAAGTCTAGGACGACGCAAGAGGAACGTTTTGCCATTGTAAAACCAAGCATGGACCCAGAAATTACTTTCTCCATAGAGAAGCGAAATCGTGCAAATATGGAGCGTCGCATCCATGCTGCAATAGCTCAAATGGATGGTCCTGGGGAAATGGAAAGTTTGAATTCTCCATCGACTTCGTCCTCTTCACTTGTAAGAGCCACACTGTGTCACATCGCGACCGTGGAAACCTCTCGTGGCATCATGATAGAGCCATGCGTGCAGCCGGGGAATGGTACACTTGCGGCGGTGATGCCGAGAGACATTTCATGGCCGCTTCACCTCCTTGTTGCAGACGCGAGTGGCAAAACGTGGCGATCTCCTCCCATCGCCGGCTCTTCATCTTTGGAAAGGCTTGCCTGCGAGATGAATTATCTGGAGGGGCGGAGGAGTGCCGAGGATGGCAACGAGAATCCGGAGCCGAAAATAAAAGGGGAATGATTCATTATTTTCAAGCAGTTTTTTTTTCGTTTCAGTGTGTGTTTGTGTTTGTGTGTGCCCCCATTGACCCATTTTTGTGTTTGTTGTTTTGTAACTTCGTGCTGGATACCCCACTCCCTCCCGTTGCGGCTGCGGGCATAGTGGGGTAGCTTATCCCCCATTTGTTCTGCTTTGTTCTCGACACACGTACGCGCCCGAACCGTCCCTCTCTCTTCCTGTTGTGCGAAGCAAATTTGTAGGGCCAACGACGCGTGGGGCGGGTCGTTGGGGGTGAGAAGTGCCCTTCACGCAGGGGAAGAAATAATAGAGGGAAAAAAAATTTTGCTCCTGCTACGGGAAGCGCACAAAGCATAGTTGGCAGTAGCAATCATAGGCACGAAAAATAATAGAAGATGATGACGCATGAAAATCATTCGTTTTACTTTAGGTTGGCGGCATTATCAATGGTGCTGGTGAGTGAATCGATTTCTTCGACGCTAATTTTGCCTTTTGTCGGATTATTTGTTGCCCGCCTGCGGAACGTCACCCCCGATGAGGCCGGCTTCCTCTCTGGAATTCTTGTGTCAGTGTTTCAACTAGGACAAATCATCACGGGCAAGACCTGGGGAAGAATGAGCGATCGGTTTGGGCGTAAGCCCATGATCCAATTGGGTCTTTTCTTCAACGCCGTTATTGCCATTTTTTTTGGAGTTAGTCCAAGCATTGAGTTCTGCATCTTGATGCGCTTCCTTCACGGGTGTGCCAATGGCAATGTCCTTGTTGCCAAGACGGTCATTGCGGATATAACGGATCGGACGACCGAAAGCCTGGGTTTCTCTGCCATCACTCTCTTCTGGGGAGTGGGCTCTATCGTGGGGCCTACATTGGGTGGGCTGTTGTATGACCCAGTGAAGAATCCAAAGTTGAGCCATTTCCTCTTGACAGAAGATCCGGCATTAAACTTCTTTGTTGTTCATCCTGCGATACTTTCCATGTTGGTGACTGCTGCCTTTTCACTCTTGGCGTTAATGAGCACATGTCTATTTCTTCCTGAAACGAGCAAGAATACAGTGGATCCATTGCTATCTCTCTGTTTTAGCCGTCGCAATACCAGCGCAGTGGTTGTGGAGGAAAGCATTGAAGAAAAAAGCACACAAGAGATGGAGAGCCCCACATATCCTGGCATTTCTGAAGAAACGGATGGGCCCTCCGTTAGGGAAGATGTCCAACAAGGGAATCGGGGTTGTGGCGAAGCATTGTTTGTAGAGGAGGGTTCATCGTATCGAGCTATTCCTGTGGAGGGTGCGTCCACGGTGACAGGGATGCGCCAAAGAAAATTGGGGTTGACATTAGAGGGTAAGAACAATTGTGAAAATAAGCCACAGTCTAGTTTTGGCTACCGCGAAGCTCTAAAGTCATCAAACACGCAAAAAGTGTTGATCATGTACATGTGCATTGCCTCGACAGAGTTTGCCCTTTTGGAAGTTATCCCACTTTGGTCGATCGCCTCAGTTGAAAAGGGTGGTCTTGGCCTTTGTTCAGCCGATGTGGGTTGGTTAATGGGTGCGACCTCAGTCGTGTGTGTCTTTGCAAATATCAATTTTACTTCTTTATTGCGATGCGTGCAAAACCACCGAGTTATTTGGGATACCAGCGTCATACTGTGGGCCTTGGTCTCCGTGGCTACACCGTGTGCTATTTTTTTTCCCCGGCAATGGGTATTTACATGTGTTGCCGTTTTGAACGCCATCAGAGAGGTTGCACTGTCATGGAATTTTGCTTTAGTATATATCTTTATCGCTCGATCCTCGCCAGAGGAGCATTTGGGATCAATGAATGGAATTGCCCAGTCCCTTGGCTCCTTATCGCGTTTGCTGACTATGCTGGTGCTTCCTCCATTATTTGCATGGTCTCTTCAAGGCGCTCAATCTTTTCCTTTTAATCATCATTTTGTTTTTTGGCTGAC